GAGTGGCTCCGCAGATACCTGGAGACCGGGAAGGAGACGCTGCAGCGCGCAGGTGCGAGGGCCCGAGGGGCAGCTCCCATCTCCTGCACACGTCCCCGATAGCCTCCCACACGGAGGGGAAAAAAAAGGGACCGACGCTAGAGTGTCGCCCTCCCCGTGATCCAGAGGGGGAAGAATCCTCACGGGTTTCGAGACCTGGTGCGGACAGTGACTCTGAGGGCCGCCCTTCTGTAAGGACAGTTAAGGGATGAGTCTCTCCAAGGCTGGAGGGGAAGACAGTCCCTGAAATACTGATCAGCGGTTCCCTTTGACCCCTGCGACAGCCTTGGGCACAATGGCTTTCTCAGACCTTGTTCTCTGCCTCACACTCAGTATGTTTGGAGGTCTGATCTCGGCTTTTCTGACTCTTGGCCTCCTCCCAAGTCAGGACCAGAAGTCCCTATTCTCTCCCTCAAACACCCGGAGCCTCCTACCTTGGAGTTCTGTCTTACCCTAAGTCTAGAACTTTCCAAGGACTGGGACATTAACCCATATGTCTGTGTCCAGGTTGGTGTCTGGGTTTTGTGCTCTCTCCCCCACCCCAATTGTCCTGTCCGTTCTCAATGCAGTAACATGAGCGCTGCTTCAGTGGCCCATGGGAAGTAATGCAAAGTGTCTGAATTTCCTGATTTTTCTCCTCAGATCCCCCAAAGACACAGGTGACCCATCACCCCATCTCGGACAGTAAGGCCACCCTCAGGTGCTGGGCCTTGGATTTCTACCCTGCGGAAATCACACTGACCTGGCAGAGAGATGGGGAGGAGCAGACCCAGGAGACTGAGTTTGTGGAGACCAGGCCTGCAGGGGATGGAACCTTCCAGAAGTGGGCAGCTGTGGAGGTACCTTCTGGAAAGGAGCAGAGATACACGTGCCATGTGCAGCACGAGGGGCTACCTAAGCCCCTCACCCTGAGATGGGGTAAGGACAAGAATGAGGGATCAAGTCTTTTCTCAGGAAAGTAGAAGGCATTCTGGAGACCTTCAGCAGAATCAGAGCTGAGTCCTGGGGGTCAAGGCCCGTCACCTTCCCTTCCTTTCCCAGAGCCGCCGCCTCAGCCTAACATGCTTATTGTGGGAATCGTTGCTGGCCTTGGAGCTGTGGTTGCAGCTGTTGTGGTTGCAGGTGTTGTGATGTGGAGGAAGAAGAGCTCAGGTAGGGAAGGGTGAGGGGTGTGGTCCGAGTTTTCTTGTCCCGCTGGGGGGTTTCAAGTCCCAGGTAGAATTGTGCCCTGCCTTGCTACTGGAATGTACCATCCACACACTCATGTGCTTACCCAGCCTGGGGCCCTGGGTGCTGACACTTGCTCTGTTGTGAACACATGGACAATGAAGACAGATTTATCACCATGATGGTGGTGGGGATGGGGACCAGCAATCAGAGGTCAGAGTGGAAGTTCTCTGCTGAGGACAGACATCCAGAAGGGCAGTTGGTCCAGTCCTTGAACATCTGCTTTCCTTATGTCTCCTAATCCTACTGATTAGGAGACATTGTCCAGTCACAATTCTGGAAATTTCCCCAAGGCCCAAAATTATGGAATTCCACTAGGACCGCAGGGAAAGGGACCTTCTCACAGGATGCTTTCTTTCCGCAGGTGGAAAGGGGAGCTACAATCAGACTCCCTGTAAGTATGGTGGGGTGTGATCCCTGAAACCCTTGGGATAGTGTAGAAGAGAGCCCATGGGGAGCTCACCCACCCCATAATTCCTCCTTTAGTCACACCGTCTGTGGGCTCTGACCAGGTCCTGTTCTTGTTCTACCCCAGGCAATGACAGTGCCCAGGGCTCTGATGTGTCTCTCACAGCTTGTAAAGGTGAGACCCTGGAAGGCCTGAAGTGGGAGAGAGAGTGGGGCAGAGGGACACGACTGGGGTATGGGGATTTGGACATTTTGAGCATGTGGTGGGCTGTTCAGAGTGTCACCACTTACACTGATTTATATACATTTATTATTATTTTGTTCTACAGTGTGACATAGCTGCCTTGTGTGGGACTCAGTGACTCCAGATGAGATCGAGTCCCCCCCAACACCACCACTATCACTTCAAGAGCTCCTGCCTGGCTTCTCTTTCTGCAACTGGAATCAGAATGTGTCTGTGTGTCTGTGTTCCTGTTAGCATAATGTGAGGAAATGGAGAGACTGGCCCATCCCTGAGCATCAAGACCCCTTCCTCACACTGACCTGTGTTCTCTTCTCTCATCAACTTTCCTGTTCCAGCAGAGGCAGGGCTGGGATGTCCCCATCCCTGTCTTACATTTATGTTGCACTGAGCCACAGCTTTTTACTTCCCTATTGAAAAGAAGAATCTGGAAAGGAAATTGTTTGCAAACTTTTGCCATAGGGTGTGGTCGATGGGTTAATTAAAGGAGAAGAAGATTCTTAAAATTTTAGAGTGGAAATAAAACCTGAGAAGCTTCCAGAAACCGTGTTTGCTGTGCTGAGTCTGTTGCAGGTGGGGACAGGGGAAGGCTGTGAGGAGCCGAGCGTGGATGGGGCCTGTGCCCGGTTGGTGCTCAGTCCATTGTGGGCTTTGACATGGTCATTCCTCAGCTAGGTCATCTTCACTGCCCCTTTGTCCTTGTCCCTTCAGTGAAACCTTGTCCCAGCAGGACCTGTGATCAGAGGGACTCAGACATTGCCCAGCTTTGTCCTGTCTCTAAGACTGTGGGCCGCCAGGACACCTGGGTCCTGCCCTCAGCCCCCATTTTTTATGTGATTATATTTTGTGTCTTTTTTCTGTAGAGGAATATGCCTGTTCTTGTTCTTGTGTACAAATTCTGGTCTCTTTCTTCTCTGGGTGTCCCCATCCCTGAGAGCAGCAGGAGCCATT